TAGGTTGTATAAGAGGGACAATTAATCAGCTATATATATATATATATATAATATATATATTAATATATATATTATATATAATATATATTATATATATATATATATATATATATATATATAATATATATATATATATATATATATATATATATTATATATATTTAGCGCAGGTCGTGTGCATTTCTTCGGTCCCTTCTCCTCTTTCTTTTGTAAGTGTGCGTGTGTGCGTGTGCGTGCGTGTGTGTGTGTGTGTGTGCGTGTGTGTGTGTGTGTGTGTGTGTGTGGTGTGTGTGTGTGTGGTGTGGTGTGTGTGTGTGTGTGTGTGTGGTGTGTGGTGTGGTGTGTGTGTGTGTGTGATGTAACAACCCTGAAGCCTCAAGTGACCACCGAGTGAAACATAGCTTCTATACTCTTCTGAATTTCAGTCTATCTTATATTCCTTTCCCCTGTGTATGGTATGTCACACCAGTCAGTCTCAACTGGTTGACATCCCAGCCTTTCCAATCTCTCCTGTTTTCATTCCTTCCTTGCTCTCTGCATGGGTTCGAGTCCCAGAGCCATCGGTCACCCACATGGTGTTCATGAGTGAAGGACCCACACCGACCTTGCGCTGTGTGTTGTGTTCGTACTCACCTCGATGTGTTTACCTTTAAGCAAGGTGAGAAACAAAACAATAACGAGTACAAGAACAGAGAATGGGCACAACTCATGTGGGAAATCGCCAATGATTATCAAAAGACGGGGGGCATACGCAGTGCCAATGCGCACATGTGTTCTCTGTGTTTACGGCTCGAGCACCACATTATTCGATGAGGCCATCATCGAGAGTATCCGGTAGCCGTGGCCTCATTGAAGGCTTTCTTGCTGGTTGGCGGCCGTACGTGCCACCTTGACATCAGTCTGGGAACGTCCTCGCCGATGGTCGAACGCCGTTGTAGCCGCCCAAGACGAGTGTTAGTTACTCTCCCTTGAACCAGTTTTCATCGACCAAAGAAAAAAAAAGAAAGAATGTCCTCAAAGAAGTAGGTGATCACCTTGCCCGCTGAACAATCTGAATCAGAAGCAGCTATGAATAGTCGGCGTCGAGAGATATAGGATTGCGGGATATGTTAAAAAAATAGAACCCAACGTTGCATTTTCTGCTATCGTATCGTGTGCTTCTGGGCGCTTATAAGTATACAATAAGAGCTCGTTAACTCGGATTTCATGGGACCGAGAAAAAATGTCCGTTTTGAAAAAAATATTGAATTAACGGAAGTAGCATGAAAACAACAAAAAAAAATGTCCATGACGTTAGTGCGTTCTCATTTTCTTGATGAAAATATATGTAAATCCTGTTCATACTGTGCATGAGAACGGTGTAAGAGCCACGATTCTTGCATTTGTACCAGAGTTGTACGTAACGCTCACAAAGGATTGGTTGCTTGTAATCACTGACATTTTCTTGAAATTCTGTTATATAATCAATTACGTTTTCCAATCTGTAATGTTCGGGAAATTCAGTTACATTTTTTATAACTGATTACCCGTAATCAACACTTTTTTAATCAAAATCAAGTTGTAGCCAGTCTTCTATTTCAGCTATCATTCTGAAAAATATGCGTCCATTATGCGCGGATCCCCCGTCCTATCAGACGGGAACATTACATATCAAGAGCCTATTTTTAGTCTTTCTTCTGGCCATACCTGCTACTCCTGACACGAGCGCCGGCGATTGCGAAGAGTGCCACTTCATAAACTACGTTGACACCGTAGCATCGAAGCGCAGCTACGAGACGGTGCGCACGGTGTTCCTACGTCAACATAACGCCTTTCCCATCGGCGTATGCGGTGAAAGATTGATATGTGGGGTTTAACGTCCCAATACCACCATATGATTATGAGAGACGCCGTAGTGGAGGGCTCCGGAAATTTAGACCACCTGGGGTTCTTTAACGTGCACCCAAATATGAGCACACGGGCCTACAACATTTCCGCCTCCATCGGAAATACAGCCACCGCAGCCGGGATTTGATCCCACGACCTGCGGGTCAGCAGCCGAGTACCTTAGCTACTAGACCACCGCGGCGGGGCGCATGCGTTGAAAAAGTCTTCAGTGTAGCGGCTGAGCTCTTAACGTGGCAACGATGAAGAGTCAGTGGCAACAACATCGAAATACAACTTCTAGTGAAAGTCAACAGCGTGTAACACTATATGTCGCAGAAGCCGCAGTAACCAGCGTTGTCTATACCATTGAAGCCACAGTATACTATTGTATTTTGAGTAAACTTGTTGACAATAACACTTTGAAGGAAAGTAACCCAAAAGTAATTGATCAGATTTCTGTAATTGCTTAGTTACGTTTCTGCAACTGCAATTGTAATCAGTTACATTTTCAAAATAGGAACTGCAATTATAGCCGGTCAGTTATTTTCTATAGCGTGTACAAGTCTCCTTCGTACAGAGTGAGACTGTGGCTCAACCCCCACCCCCGTGACATAACCTGCTCACCCGAAATGTCATTACCGTAGCTGACTTACGCTCCCATGTTTAATGCGCATGCCCCATAAAGTGAATGGGAGCATATATCTGTCGTGGTATCAGTTGGTCGAGAATAAGACGCGTTATTCGAAGGTCGCTGGTGCGGTCTCTGCCAACGGCAAGTTATATTTTCATCCACTTCTATTTCTTCACACTTACTTACTTCTAATAATACCCCTTCTACTTTCTTTGGCATAATTGTCTGTCAGTTCTCAGCGATATTACATGTTACGCTGTGAAGCGCGTATACAGAACGCGGGCGTTTGGTAAGCATGCACGTTACTTTCACTGCATTTCCATTGATTTATTGATTGATTGATTGATTGATTGAAAGATTGATTGATTGATTGATTGATTGGTTGATATGTGGGATTTAACGTCCCAAAAACCACCGTATGGTTATGAGAGACGCCGTTGTGGAGGGCTCCAGAAATTTCGGCCACCTGGGGTTCTTGAACGTGCACCCAAATCTGAGCACACGGGCCTAAAGCATTTCCGCCTCCATCGGAAATGCAGCCTCCAGCGCCGGGATTCGATCCCGCGACCTGCGGGCCAGCAGCCGAGCACCTTAGCCACTAAACCACCGCGGCGGGGCTCACTGCATTTCCAATTAGATGTACTTATTTTCCCTGTATTTTCCAGCAGACGCGAGGCTGTGTGGTAGAACGCCCGCTGTCCACTCAAGGGACCCGGGTTCGGACCCAGAAATTTTTATTATTTATTTTATTTTTGCATATTTCTCGATTTTTCGGTCCCAAAATGATGACTTTTTGCTCACAACCAACGACGCTGCCACCAACGCCGACACCGGAGTGTCTGCGAAACAAGCTCTTTAAGGCCGCGTTCACACTGAGCATTCCGGCCGCCGAAAATGCTCCGAATCCGATTCGGCGGCGGCGATATCCGCCGAAAAGGCCCTCTCCGCGCCGATCGCTCACGGACCGATTTTTGCGGCGTCTGCCGCCGAATCGGTCACCGCGGACCAATAGGAGCGCAAGTCAAGGAATTTTGAAAAATGGCGGCCAAGCCCTACTCACTTGTTATGCCGCAGTGCACGTAACTGAATGTTGAAACCAACGGGAGTTTAACCTACTCTGTGCCTACTTCGCCTCCGTATTTCGTGAAAGAGGTGACCGTGCTTGCTATAGGCGTGACCAAGCTTGTTGCGGTCTTGCAGAGCAAAACGAACCCACCAACGCCGCTGGCGTCGGTGGTTTTTCTGCTCTTCGTGCATTACAAGACAGCCACTTGTCAGCAAAGTAGGCAGTACTGTCTTTTCTTGCTTCTTGCGTACGAGAATCGTCGAAGTATACACCACGGGATTGCGTAGTAGCGTTTGCGAGCCGCGACAACAACCGGGTGACAGCGCATCCATCCTGCGTTCGCCCCGTAGTAGATGGCATATTCGGCGGCGCGGGGCGCGTCTAGTGCGAACGACGCTGCGTTTCGGCGGCAGGGGAATTTCGGTCGCTGTAGAAAGCGGATGTTTCAGTGTGAACTAGGCATAACGCTGTCACGCTAACAATATTACGTATTAACAGCAACGCACTGCGTCTGGGCAATTCAGCATCGCGCATAGGCACGCGCACGATGGCGGCGTGGCAAAGGGGGACACGATGTCTCTCCCTTCCCCACCTAATGTGGAGCCCTGCGTCACAGATATATCAGAGGCTAACCCTGTATGTTTATACTCAACGCATAACGTTGCGAACGCTACCTGACGTGTTGGCTGCGCGATTAGCTTCTTCCCAATTTATTCCCGCTTATTGTTGTTCCTCATTATTATTTTGCTACTGCCACAAGTCATAATTTGCATATCGTATACGTTTAGGTCTTGCTCGGGCCATCGGAAGTCTTCTGACTGTTACCCATCGATACGAACAATAAGTTGCGGATGTCGTCATTAGGCACACATTCGAGTACCTTCGGGCCTGACGGAAGGTTTTCCGCTATGGGAGCCCGCGCGGTGCGAAAACGTATGCTCTCTGTACTGTCTGCGCCACTTCAATAAAATAATTGAAAGAAACGCATTGTTACGTAAACAATAGCGATGCACAGCGGACAGTACCGACCCGTTTAAGCATCAGACACTATCTCGATATGCCTCAATGTATAACGTAATGGTGATTGCAGCCTCACTTCATACGGGGTTGGTTTACCGTGCGATTAGGAACTCGTTTGTCGTTTTCACCCGTTGTTCTCTTTCGACATCAAGACGCGATCCTTGGCGGGTTTGCTTACGTGTCCAGCTCTAATCACCAGAAGCCTGTCGATGCTTGGTTAATGAAACTACGCACGACCACGCTGGTGACTTCACTCTCGTCGTTGATGGGTGTACCCTGTCACGAGACCTTCGGATCCGACCACGGTGCCCGCGAGTCCTATTTACAACGCCGAGCAACGAGGCAAGGACTTCGTACGAAACACGCGCGCGATCGGCGCAGACAGACAGACACTCGCGACTTTCCCCGTTCCTCCGTCGTCGGTGGCCGCTCGCTGCACGTCACGGGATCGTCGTAAACAGCGCCCTCGCCACGGCCAGCGAGCGCGTGCTACCGGGCCCGGCGATATCGGCGTTCGAACTCGAAACGACCGCCCTTGGCACAGTATGTAGCAGACGACGCGGTGCCAGTGATTGCCATGAGCGCCGTAAAAGACGACGCAGCCGCCGCGGTGGATCGGCTGAGCGCCAAGGAACAAGCCGCCCTCGATCAAGTGAGCGTGACTGTACGATGCAGTTATTAGACGGGTGATGCGTGCGCGCTGTAGTGCAATGAGTGCCGCGCGTAAAGAGGCGACTAAGAGCTATCGACTCGGTGATCCAGGGTTTTTTTTTTCCAGTGCTGCAGTGGCGCGCCATGCACCCGGCCGCCCGAGCAGATGCCATCGAACCAGCCGTCGATGGCACGATTATAATTGCTGCTTTATCTCTATCTCTTCTTTTTATGACACCATTTGAGTCCTGATTAGATACCGCCGCTGGGGGAAGGCCACACAGTGTAATGGCTGCGCGCCAGAGTCCACGATATGCGTGTGGGCCATCATCAGGGGTTTCCTTTCGTCATCATAATGTCTAGACAATAATAATAATTGTTGGGTTTTTACGTCCTAATACCACGATACGATCATGAGGGACGCTGTAGTACAAGACTCCGCAAATTTTTCACCATCTGGTGTCCCTTGCACGCACTAGATCTATTTAATGGCCCTCTGGCTTTCATCTAATTGAAACCACTGCGAGTGGGATTCGGTCTTGCGACGTTCAAGTCAGCAGTCGAGTTTCATAACCACTAGACTACTGAGACCGTATGAAAGGCACCTAATCATCCAATTATGTCAATTTATCGGCCTCTTTTGAAGAACTTTACGAGCCAAAACCACGATATGTATACGGTGCATGCGAGGTACTCGGAAGTAATTTTGAGTACCTGGTCAGGGTTATTTAAGGCGGTTTTTTAGGGGCGAACTTCCTTATGCCGTGGGTCACTCCTTCCTCTGTAGTAGTATTAGTAGTTGTATGTAGTCAACTCTAGTTTATGAGTTGCTCTATAGATGTAGTTGTTTGTATATGTCCTCGGGAATAATATATCTTGATGGCGTTAATGGTTTTCACAGTATATTCACTGAGTGAATGATGAGTGGGGCAAAGTGTCCGTCCGTCTGTTCCAAGGGAACAGACAGACAGACAGACAGACAGACAGACAGACAGACAGACAGACAGACAGACAGACAGACGGACGGACGGAGGGACGGACGGACGGATGGACGATTCATGGTTTACCGATAAAACCTTCTGACGCTTCGCTCCACTCTTCATCGTTTCCTCCGTGATTATGCTGTGATTTTCGTTGTCTTTTTAAAACCCGACAAAAAATGCGTTCGTCATGGCCAAGTGTTTAGCCCATGCTCACGTATTTAACAACGTTACACCTCAGCCGATAAGCCGCAACGCTGGCTAATTCAGAAGTGTGGCAGCTTGGGCTAGTTGCTATGGCATGACGATAGTTATAGCGCGAGAGCAGAACGACGACACACCTTCGTGTCCTTCTTGTCTGTGTGTCGTCGTTCTGCTCTCAAGCTATAACTATCGGCTGGGTAGTGTTTCTTTTTGTGTGGATCGCCATCTTGGCTTTCAAATATGGATATGTGCATGTGCCATTCCACCTATTATAAATGCACTGCTTGTGCGAGGCCATAGACTGTATTGTTTTATGATGTACCATTTGTGCTGTTGTATAACTATACGCCTACAGACAACCTTTCGAGCAAAAAAAAAAAATATTTGCGAGACCCGAAGAGCAATGGTTTCGTGGCTTTCCTTCAGACGTGTACGTTTCGACAGTTCCTTTAGCATACAGTCGATGTGGGGATGTGAGAATGCCTGAGCAGCTTTTTCTCCTGTCAAGCCACACGAAGAACAAAAGATTCCTTACGTACCTGATATTTTGTACTCTCATGAAGTTTTATTTTATTGTATTGAATGCGCTGTACAATAATCTTTTGGCCTGTCGGTACAGTAAGTATAGTAATTTTTTTGCACAGTAAGTTCTTCAACTTTTCCCTAACTAAGCAAAGAAATTGATGACGCAACAATGCGTTTTCGCACGTGTGTATGAATTATTTTCGTTCTCAGTTCGAAAACACGCTGAAGCTGTGCTGAAATTCTTCAGAGATGCGCTTCGTCTCGTTAATGGTATGCATCGAACGTCGTCGAGGACGTCTTCTGAGCTTATAAGAGCTTGCGACAGAAAGTATCGCTGCCACTACCACCAACACCTATCCCTGCAACTATAGTGCAATCGAAGGCGTAAATCCCAACGAAGTGTCGCGTTTTACCTGCTGTTGCGTTTGCAAATGCTTTGCGTGCGAGCACTCAAGCAATCTATACACTGATCTTTTATAAGCAGTTATTTTTACAGTAAAACCGCTCATTTATAGAAATGCTTTCGATTGCTTGAGGTTTTTACTTGCCAAATAAACAAAATCCGCGAAGAATTTCTTCGGAGAGTTGTTTTAGCGATTCGTAAGCGTAGAGTATTATTTCAGTTTGTATTCTTTGCTGTAGGATGCTGTTTTCAGGTGGCAAATCGGCATGATCAACAGGTCGTGGTATTGAATCCAGACCATGGAGGCTGCAATTTCAATCGAGGCGAGCATGCTTGGGGCCCATTGACTGTGATTTTATGTGCACGTCAAGAAACACCAGATGGTCAATAATTTCGGAGCGCTCCACAACGGCGCCCCTCGCAATCATATCGTGGTTTTAGAATGCCAACCACTAACAATTACCCATGAAATTACCTATTGCAAAGTATAACACGACGTATTTGATCTTTATAGCACACGTCAGCACATCTAATGGCCTTGTGGCACGCTAATGTCTTGGACAACGATACGTGCGTTTAGCATCAAGTCTTCGCCAAGTAGGAAAATTTTCGGCGAGTGTGTGATCCTCCGTGTCGGCTTTGCACCTTGTCCTGCTGCCGGAGCCTTCACAGAATCTGTTTTCCGGTTGCATTTACATGTGCTATCTTTCTGAATAGTGCATCGTAACCAAAGAACGCTAACACTGCAAGCCCTATTCTAGGACTATATATTTGTTGCAATGTGGCTACGTTGCCTTCATGTGGCACAGATGTGTTGATATTTTACAAGCACTAGCTTGTGGCCTATCACAGTGATTAAGACACCTGATTTTGTAGCTTGGTTTCGTATAGCCTAGTTCAAACATGGCTCACTCAAGGAAAACTTAAAAATGAAGTCTACAAATACGGGTATAAAGTTGGACTTTGTTCTATTGACGAGAGCACGCCTATCTCGCACCCAAGTGCTTTGGTGGTATACCCTCGCTCCCAGGGACACCATAATTTGTTTGAAACTGCCAAGGCGCGCCTGATTGATTTGTGGGGTTTAACGTCCCAAAACCACTATATGATTATGAGAGACGCCGTAGTGGAGGGCTCCGGAAATTTTGACCACCTGGGGTTCTTTAATGTGCACCCAAATCTGAGCACACGGGCCTACGACATTTCCGCCTCCATCGGAAATGCAGCCGCCCCAGCCGGGATTTGAACCCGGGTCAGCAGCCGAGTACCTTAGCCACTAGACCACCGCGGCGGGGCGAAAGGCGCGCCTCAATAGCATGCCATGCAGTGGCTCTGGCATGCAGTGGCCCACTTATAAAAAGTCATCTGGTTACCACTGCGCTGTCATTTGATGCGACAACAACCAGCGCAAGAGGAGGCGATTGCTGAGCACCTGATGAATTAAGTTGCTTTCGCAGTCTGCAATGCCCGTGCTGCAGACATTCCAAAAGGCCTCCTCGACGTTTCACACGAAATCAGTATAAAATTCTAGCATAAGAACAACACGAAACATGATTGCAGCTGCACTATGGTTGTGAAGTTTCGCGTTTGATATGCAGTGCATCTGCTCGCGTGGCAATTGAGGGTGTTGCTTCGCCGCGCTTGCAACAAATGGCGCCACGCGCTTTTTAATATGGCAGCAAGCACTGAGCTCACGGTGTTCTGGTGTATAGGCGGAAAGGCAAGTTCAACTGTTCCTGTATCTGGACTGGGCAGAAATATTTAGAAAAGTATGGAGTCTACAAATATCGAAATATGTGTGCTGCAAGTCTAAAATACAGATACTTGGATTCATATTTTGTTGACGTGACGGGATATTTCAGAGATGCGTTTGCGAATAGACGATAAAAGCATTCCGGAATACGAGCCCAGATACAATTACTGGGATACATTTTATCTCAGGAATGCTGATACCCCGAAGTGACGTACACTATTAAGAGCGGCATAATAATGAGAATAATATCGCAGCGTATTGAAACTCACAAGTAAACTATATCGCCCGAATCACTAACGAACGCCAGTGAATTCAGAGAAAGCATACATATAGTTTTTAACACTGCCAATCTGTTTGTTAAAAAAGTTTCTCCGTTAACGGCACTGAGCCAACAGGAGCTCCTTTATCTGATAGACAGCGTCAGATTGGCTGCAAAACAAGACTCGCGGAACAGCTGTACTGAAGTTGTTTCAAACTTAAGATAATCAAGTTGTTTCTCCCTCAGGCAAAGCAGCTATAGTCACAGAAAAACAAAGGAGCGCTGCACCAGCTTTCTGAGAGAGCGATTTTGTCGACAAAGCTGACTGACAATACTGCCTCTGCGCGTTTGTGTCGTATATATAAGCGGCGCCAGGTGGTTCACCACATGGGCCATTCTGTGCGTGTATGGAACCCTTCGTCGCCCTCGCTGTGTCGCCGACTGGCAGCGCTCATTTCCCTTGCTAGCACACACACAAAATAGTATCCATTTCTTTTTCGAAAACAAGTTTTATCATTCCCGCCAAAAATTTAACAGATACCCGCGTCCAACAAAGTGTCGCTATATAATCAAGCTGTAATTCTATATCACTACTGGGGTACAAACATGATTCTAAAATGTACACTGATACTGAAATACAGATGCTCAATTATATATAAAAGATAGTATCATGATACTGCCCAGCCCTGCCCTGTATTCAGGCTGATTTGCTTTGCGACATGAAGAATAACTCCCTTTTTACATGTATTCCTTGACGGCGGTGTTGGCGTGACAGGCATGGGCGGACGGCTATTTTTCTCGATGGGTGTGCATATAAATGTTTACGCATAAACACGCACGCACACACACGCACACATGCCCGTTTAATTCTGTGGTA